CGTCTCGATAACTCGAATCTCAGGGAAAATAAAAATACATTTTACTTCCGTGTTTTTGGAGTTATATTTATATATCTCAAACACAATTTAAAAATAATTCGAGAGGCAATAAAAAAAATCGAGTTCTTGAGACCCGATTGCATATACGTAGGCAGGAACCTCACAAGGGGGACTATTGGACTTGGAGTATAGGGGACCGGCTATTTAAGGAGTCCCGTTGAAATGAATTTGTAACTTTTGAAGTATTGATAGGTATACTTCTTTCATATTATTAAATAATATTTTATGATATAATTAATGTATATTATAATTTTTTTTTGTCATTTTAAGTTGTGGGCCATTGATTACCCATAAACCGTGCATGGGACACCCGATTGCTTTGAATAGGTTGTATTTCGTTTTAAGTTATGTATAGAGCCCAAAAAAATATTTAGTCCAAAATTTGATCTGGGGGGCCTGTACGTAAGTACATCAGAAAATAAACAATGTTTATTGGTATTATAATATTATATTGTAATTATTTGTGCCTATTGACTATTTATGTAATGAGCCACTGAGGCCCTATAGTATAGTTTCTTTCGCGCAGATCGAACGTCAGATAAATTAAAATATTTCAGCAATAAGTTTGCAATCGAAACGCGCTTGATAGCGCTGCGTGGAAAATATTCGTGATTGCCTTAGTACACGCGATGTTATTATAATCACATTATTATTTTGTCAAAGAATCACGCATCAGTAGAAAATTTACAATCCCCGAGTATACCACAAAATTGATTGTGTTTATGATTTATCCGACAGTTTAAAATGATGATTGTCGCGTATGAATAATGTCGTAATTGTGTATATATATATAATTGTCTTCGATAAATATTATAATATTTAGTAACGGTGCATTCGTCGTAAAGTATATGTTCGAATGAGTCATCTGAAAACACCGCCATTTCGAAGCGGTATTATATTATGTACATAATATATATATATATATGTGTATGTGTTTGTCGCGTGATGGCTTAATAATATTTTACAATCGTTTAAAATGGAATAATTTCCAACATCGGAGCAGTTATAATACATGGCAATAATCGAACGGCCTAGTTATAGAAATAAATTAAAAACGTCTCAATTACGTCAGGCGACAAATCATATCGCACCCATATATTATATAATACTATACATGTATAATACTTGTAATGGCGCGTAGGTAGGTACATTATTATTTATTATTAAAGGTATACTGCAGCAATCGCGTTTCTCGTATAACTTGGACAACACGCGGTGTGAGAGAAAAAAAAAATCTTCCTACAATTTTAAGAGATTTTTTTGTTAGCGCTCCTCGTTTTTTAACCGCGCACGCTTTTAACGCACGAGCGAATATAATAATATAATACAACGAGTATAATATATTATTATATACATTATAATTTATATTTTATATTATATATTATGTTATGCTCGCATATGATCGGCCCCTATACATCTTTTTAGTCTGCCGCATCGGTATAGTGTGTGTGAGAGTGTGTGCGAGTGTGTGTGTTGAGTACATTTTTTTTTCTTCGATGTGTAATTTAAAAAAATAAAGCTAATGCATGGCCGGGAGGCGGCGATCCCGCGACTCGCAGTGGGAGGACGGGGTGCTGCGTGAGTTGCGCGCACACACACACACACACACACACACACACACACACACACACACACACACACACACACACGCACGCACGCACACACACACGCACACATTCAAAGCGTGTAATAACGTGTACACGCACGCATATATACGTATATACGTCCCGGAGAGCTTGACAAGCCGGCGAGGCGGTCGTAAAAACTGTAATTTAACTGCTGTTCTGTGCCCGGCGCGTATATAGTTAGCTGATAAATTAAAAAAAAAACCGTGAGAGAGAGAGAGAGAGAGAGAGAGATAGGAAAAAGCCAGGGGTCGTAAAAACTAAAAACCACGGGGAAGAAGAAAGTTTTTATTTTTTCGAGTAGACGCACTGCAGCCGAGCTGGGAAAATCGGATAGCAAACGTCCGATGATTCCTAGCTGTTATATGCACGATAATATTTTGTTTATTCTTGCCGCGGAATTATATTATTATTATTATTATTGTATATATTCTATTTATTCATATCGCCGGTTGATTATTTGGTTTTGATAATATTAATAATATGTAGGTTTACCATTGAGAATTCGGCTCTCGAACGACCTCGACTGCGACGGCGGGTGACATTATAATTTTATGCTGCGTAATATTTGGACTCGATTTCAATAGTATGAATACTTACATAATGGTACCTACACCGAAGAGTGGGCCGAAATGATTTTTATTTTATTTTAAGACGAACGAATTTATTTTGGGTACAGATGTAAGAATAATGCAGTACGTATGTCATCTAATAAATAATTATTGTCGCAAATGAGTTTTAAATGTTTATCTTATATACATATTGATATTATAATTGAAACTGAGTCTATATTATAATCAACTGTATACATATTCATGCTGAGATGTCTTACGAACAGAAATCCGAACCTACACACATAATACTTTAATATAGTATAACACGGTTATATTATGGAGTGATTATATGCGCCATACGCCATGGTATCATTTGGACTCACGATAGGTCTTGAATCGCAATAATTTTTGTTAGTCTGAGAGAAAAATTGATAATCGTTACTAAAAAGAAGACTGGCAATTAAATTTTTTTCTTCACTACCTATTAAAATCGTTAACAAGCGACCCAACGGTTGATTTTTATGCTCCCGTATGATATGGGTATAATAGTATTAACGTTCCTATACATAAAAAACATTTAACTACATAATATTATATAATATTGTAATATATTTATTACCACTTTGATGGGTAATAGGCGTAATATAACTGTTTGGCGCGTTTACTATAATGATGCATGAAAACGATCACAATTGTTCGATTATGTAACTACGCAATATTATTTAACCTCTCATACTGAAATAACAAAATGTACATTGCTATACATATACGCTACCAACGAAAAAGGTTAATACGAAGTAATAAAATATAATTATACAATGTATATTATTATTTATTATGAATTCTCCAATTCTCGCACACCTGCACAGTCCACCTAAACATCTATATATATATATTATATATTTTCAAGTCATAATAATTGGGATTATGTTGACAAATATATGTGAATTTAAAATAATAAAATAAAAGGCATTACAATAAAATGACGGTTCAATATACTTTTGAATTATACATTAAGAATTTAGTATCTCGAGTTTTTTTACAATTCTTGAAACATAATTGTGTCACACATACCGTGCAAGTCGTCAGTAAAACTCAATTTTATAACACCAAAGAACATTAAGCAGTTATTAATTTTTGATTTACAGTGTCAGTTGTCAGTTATTTTACTAATGTTTTTTTTCTATAAAAATCTATTGGTAATTATTTTATTTTCATCTTGATTAGGTTTCGTAAATGTACTTTTTAATTTTCACAGAATGTACCGTACAATTATACTCCACATATTTACAGATTCTTTAATCCATCGTCGTAAAATGTAAATTCTTTTAACATATTTTTTACATTTTAAATTTAACTTTGAATTGAGCAATACTATTATATTATGTCTTAATAGTCAATAATTTTTACAATAACCTTTTTTTGAAAAAAATTAACTGTTGTTTGAAGTGACTCAGATCGTTATAATTTATACACAGCCTATACATTTAATACATAGATAATAAGTAATGTTAGGAACATTTGAGAATATTACATTCAAAAAAATATTTAAATATTAATACATGTATATTGTATAATATTACTATACAATTTTTTAAGTATGCAAATATAATGGTAAAATAATTTATCTCATTCGAATTAGAATGACGGTCGTCTATAATCAAAATTCATAATAGTATAATATGTCAAGGAGTATGTGGGGCCTGCAGTGATAAGTTTCTTTAGTTTAAAATGAGTTATAGATAGTTGTAAGTGCTTTAAAAGTGTTTTATATCGTTTTTATTACGACCATCAAATCCTAAATGCATGTTAAGCCGTAAACAAATATTTTATATGACATTTAAAAATGATTATACTTCAATAGAAGATATCTAATGTCCCGTATAAAAATTAAAACCAATATTAATTGTCATTAAATCAAAAACTCCAATATCTAAATAACAGTACTCAGTAGATAATAACAACGTCATAATATGTTTTAACAGACAGAATCTGGAGGAAAATTAAAATACATTCAACGAACTTATAATACATAGTTACTATTGAATTCTGTTTTCTTCGATTAACATCAAAGCAATAAAATAAAAATTAAGATATATTTAAACTCTCTGTAGATATATGTCCTAAGCGTTGCATTTTGTACTGCGAGACTGAAAATTAATTGTTTTCGGAGACCGTTGTATTGTATGCCGAACACCAAATTTAGGTCATAAGCGGCGATAACGCGATATTGCGGTGTATAATAACGATATAATATAACACGTACAACAGTATTATAATACTAATTTTGTACCTAAGTTATTACAGGGCAATGTGGTTCGATTGTAGGAAAATAAAATTTGACGGCCGTCCACAGATGACGAAAGAGAACGATGAAAATAAGACGCTTGGCTATTGTCGTGCTATTTATCCACAATGGGTATTATAATACAAATTTTATCTGCGGCCGGCAGAGCATATGAAATACGTTATAATTCATCACGCCGAAGTAACAATTAAACAATTATATCGCTGTCGGGACGAACTATAAAAGTAATTATTTAATTAAAGGAAAAAAAAACTAGATAAAAACGACATCGTTAAATATTTTGTGCGTCAACTGCGCGGCGTGGAAATAATAATAATATATAATCGGCGGTGGACGGTCGTAACGACACATGCGAGATAAGCGCCGCCGAAACTGTATAATCGTACGACAATTATTTACTTATCGACCGATTAAACGGCAAAGGCCGCCCGGGGCCAGTGGCTTAAATAGCCGCCGACCGTTCGTACCGGCAATAGTCAATCGCATCTGCCGAGACAGGAGAAGTCGCGACCCGATGAAGACGAAAAGACGACGACGGTGACGACGACGACCTGCGGACTTGAGACGACTCCGACTGCAGCGGTGAGTACTTTTTTGGAACATTTTTTTTTCCGACGCTCAAACAATAAATCATATTATTGTTTTTACTTATTCGCCCGGCCGAAATCGTTTTCGTGTTATAATGAAAAAATAAATGTCCACGCCGAAAGCTAAACGCGCGAAAAAATGGGTGAGAAAAAAGTAATACTCGTAAAAATAAAAAGTATAATGTATTTATAAATTTTTTTTTCGTCTCCGACACCGGTATGCATATTATAGTGTTATTGCCTTTTAGTTTGTTTTACGAGCGCGTCGTGCATGCGCACATTCACACATTAATATAACATATTATTATTAGTATTATACATCGCGATTTACCGACTTTAACGCGAGCACGTCTTATTGGCCCTCGAAACTTTAGATCGAACGAGGTTACCAGGCTTTGCAATTTATATTTTACAGTGTTATTATATTTCAATTAATAGTTGTAGGTAATAAAAATAGTAGACGTTACATAATCACAATATTTTATTTTCCATATTTCAATCTAAAAACGAATATTGACTTAATAGAATTTAAAATTAAAACTAAAAACTAATTTGGAAATTATTTTCATATTTATCATCTGGCCCGTCTTAAAAATGTTTTTCAGTTTCGCTTAAATGAACGGCGTTGCCGGAGAGTGACATAAAATATATAATGATATGTTACTTAATTATTAGACTCTGTGTATTTTGGTTTTTATTTTTTATTTAGCGCGTTTATTTATCCACAATAAATTGGTGTTTTTTTCGATTAAAATATGATTAGGCACGACGTAGTTTGTAGCCGACGATTTAAATGTATTTATGTTTGATATTATTATGTGTGCTGCAATCGCTTTATACCGATTTCCTCTATCGTTACGAATCAACAATAAATATATTTTGATAAAGCAAATTTACATTGTTAATCGACCTCGGCTGTGAGTGTGCACGGTGTATAAACGCACTAAAGCTATCATCAAGAGCTTCGTATTATTTTAAACGTTGAATGCCATATTATTCATATATTTCTGTATAGTCTGGCTGCGGTTTACGCATAATAGGTATTACGATAATATACATTTAACTAGCTTTTCTCTTAATAATATCTATCAGAAAAAAATTATTTTGTGTTTATAGGTAACCTACCTCAGTTGAGGAAATCATTCGAACATATAGAGCGTGTAATTCTATTTTATAAACTATAACATTCCAAAATGCAAATGTCCGTTACTTTATAAATTATAAATGTCTATAAAAAATAATAACTTTACGGTAATTATATTATGATTATAATTTGTTTTATTGGCGATAGTTATCTTAGACCAACGATAGGATATATAAAATGCACCCGTTTTCACCATTTATTAGTAAATTTATTATAGTAGGTTCCTACTGTTTTGTTTGATATATATATATATAATGCTGTGAAAGAAAAAAATTAATATAATAAACTAATATAACCATTAATTAAAAACATTAATTTCACGGTAGTAATAAAATAGTAAATGTGTTATAAATAACTTATAATATTCGTATTGTGATGGTTCAATTCTGTGAGAACTTATAGGTTGGGTTAGGTCAAAATTAATATAAATATATTAATATTTTTGAAGTATAAAGATAATTCAAGTGCTGTAGTTATGTTATAGCTGTAATAAACTATACACACTTAATTTACAAACATTATATACATAATAAACTAAATATAAATATGATGTATGATAGGAATAGTATTATTATTTAAAAAATCGTAACTTTGAAATATTTTTAAACAAATCATTATTCACATTTTTTTTCTATTGAAACTTTGGCTGAAGCCAATTTCTACAATTGAATATTTTGTTGCCGATGTGCAGTGTTTATGTGTACAATTATATTTCAATTGGAAATATAGACTAACACATCATAAAACATTTAGACTAATACATAATTTCATTCTCCTTGTGCAAATGTTTCAACTTGTATAATTTTACCGAATTTAGGAAAAATAATAATATATTATTAAGACAGATTCTTACAAGGAAATATAACACTCATAATTATTATTTATAACCGCTGATAAAATGTAATATGATTTGTTCGTGTCAAATTCGATGTATAACTTCTGTTGCAATGCATACGAAAACCATAATTTTATGTCGTTATATTGATGAGATTAATTTTTTGTATATAATAATAATTTCGCTCAAGACGATCATGTGGTTATTGATTGATGAAAACAAAAAGCAACCGACGCGTACCTACCTCAAATTATATTTTGCGTTCTATCGTACACGCATAATAATCACAAAATACAAACTCGCTAGTCACCACGGCTGCCGTTCGTCTTCTTTAAAAACAATATAATATTACAATTATATGTATATATATCATCTCGCTTGAACCTGTATGATATATTGTTTAACCCTATATACACGCATCATACACATGGCCGAAACGTCCGAGTCCCATACATATACATACACTATACATGTATATATATGTAACACATTATATTATATACAATTTAACGCATATACACGCGCTGCATTGTGCGAGGGCGCGGAATCCATTACGACTCTCTCTCTCTCTCTGCGGTGGCGACCCTCTCCATTATAATATATACGATTCCATCGTGCGCGCCATTGCTGCCGTGTATATATATATATGTATGTATGGGAGTCCCGCCGCCGCCGCCGCCTCCACCGCTGACGATGCGAAACCTTTTCCCGTTCGATATAACAACCCTCTGCGGGCCATGATTCTCCTCCGCATATAATACAATACGCGAAGATAGAGAGAGAGGGTGAGTGAGCGAGAGAGTGTGTGTATGAGAGAGAGAGAGAGAGATAAGCGCGTATGATGACAATACATGTACAGAGTAGGCGAATTGTAGCGGCGGTGTGTGTTCGAGCGAACCTCGCGGAGGGTCGACGGCGAAAAAAAGGAGCCGGGGGCCGGGTTGTTTTTTTTATTTCGTTTCGGCTCCGTTCCCCGTTTTCGATATCGCAATATATAAGCCAGCCCCCGCGAAAACCCGTCACAGTACAGCACCGGGGACCGAAGTATTTGCACACTGCGCAGACCGCCGCGGACCTCAGTCGTCCGCCGAAGACTATGATGCGATTTATCTTCGTTTGTTTGTTTTTTTTTCGTCACCGCCGTCTCGTCCGCTTGTATACACAACGGAAATCCGGTCCGCGACGACGATCGGTAGGCATATTGGTAGGTGTTGTGACGACCCTTTGTCGAATCCCGCACGTACCTACGTTACCGCCTCATGATGTTTACTCACCACCTATATATATTATATTATATATTATTATATATGCGCTTATATTATATTGCTACTATTATTATTGTATTTATAATCGTAACTACGTCTTCGCTACAGTGTCACGCAATGCCGTATTATTGCCGTTAGACATAGCGTTACATTATTTAAAATATTATATTATTGTTATCGTATAATATCGTGTACTTATAGTTGTTGTACTATACCGTGTTTGTTTTTTCCCTCCGCAGGTATTCATATCATGGTATCGTGGCCAGGTGTAGCAGAGACGGCCATTATATTATAACGTGTAGGTACACTCGTAATGCGTGTGACGAGACTCACGGATTTACGTCTGGAGAATTCGAATCAACGGATTATAATGTGCCCTCGATGTACACAGACGACGAACCAACGTTGCGTACTGCATAATATATCATTCCGACACAATATAACCGAAATGGTACTGCACCGCGGATGTGAAGAGGAAATGAAAAACAATAATAAAGGTGACGATTTTTCCATACCTACATAGTATAATTTTAACACGTACGCCTAATACAATGTATATGGTGTATAATATGGCGGGCGAGCATGTTTCTCACTCCCTCCCCCCTCCGACGCGTACCTTTTGTTTTTTTTCAAAACCGTGTTAGGCTCACACATGTACATTTATCAGTAGTTTTATTATTCTCTGTACTGCGTTTTCCTTGCAGTTGCGTGGTGCCCTCGTGAAAGCCTTGCGCTCTACCAGGTCACTGCGGTTACGCGAGCATATTACCGGGTTTATGATACACCGAACGCGCAACATTTGTGTACATAGAGAAACGGGTCTCACCCACGACTTCGATGGATAATTAATGAATTATGTACCATTGTAAACGTCTATAATTCAATGCAATACACACACAGTTTTTAGGCGTGTTATAGAGTTCCGTTGACGATACTAATCATAATAATATATAGGTATAAGAGAAGCTCGAGGTTTGATGAATTCGAATTATCGCCCCAGAATTTCGATTAAAATCATGAGCACGTAGTGCGATATTATATTACATAGGTACGACGGCTTGAAAAGGGGCCTTTTTTTAATAGTCGTTTCGGGACGCGTCGGGAATTTCTAACCTATAACCGAGAGTACGGGACTGCCGCGGCGAATGTGCAGATGCGCAGCCTTTCGGGTCGCGTGCACGTAAAAGTTTATCGGCGTTGTGGGGGTGGGCGTTGGGTGAAAAGCCACTCCTTCGTTGCGTATCGATCGGCGGGGCGGGACGCGCGTCCACCCTCCGCCGTTGGCCCGGCAAAAGCCCGCGGCGGACGGCCAGCGCAGGCGCGCCGGCGGTGACTTTGCAGCGCGCCGGGCCGCAGAAAATGCCGCCGCCGGTCTTTTGCGCCACCGACTGTATCGTCATACCACAGCCGTCGACGGTGGCTGTGCGTCGTCGTCGTCGTCGCCGCCGCCGTCGCCGCCGTACACGCTTCGCGCCGAGGTGGAGTTTTCAATCGAGGGAAATCGAGGTCCTCTCCGTCAAAAAAAGGTAATCGCGAGTCCCGGGTTTTATTTGTGTTTAAATGAACGCCGTAGTTGATATTTTTCGCCCCCCGCCGAGGTCGAATGGCCGCTAATATAACAAACATGGCCTCTACGCACATTTCTAACCCTTTTGTACGCGCAGACAATATCCGTTGGGTTTTGTGCTTTGTATCACCCTCGACGCGATGATAAATAAAAATAATCTTTTGTGTATCGTTTCGTACGCACACACACCCGCTGCACGAGCGTCGCACTCGTTTTATATCTCTCCCGCTACGCCGCCGCTTCGACTACCAGCGGCCACCGGCTATTGTTCGCGACGTCCGGCCGAGAGGGTTTTTCATTCGATTACTTACAATATATTTTTCGATATTATTACACACACACGCGCGCACACATACATACACATCACGTTGTGCGTACGATACCGTCATTATAATATAGTAAAAAATTGTCTTTCCGTTTCCAGATGTGCCACACCGCACGGCGTTGACGTACGAGCTGCTCTGTCCGTCCTTCCGTCCTCGTCCAGGCACCGATGCAGAGCTGCAAATGTCGACGAATTCGACGAATAATGCATGGCACCCTGTACGTATACTAAATGTATCCTGAGTGCATTATAAAACTGTCCGGTATACCTTCAGTATACGTAACAGGGTGCCATACCGATCTTCCAGAAGTGGTCCCGTGACGAGTTCTGCGCCGCATCACTACACGAAGTCGCCTCTTCGCGTACAATTTGATGACATTTTTTTTACACATATTTATATGTATACATAGTATCGCCATTCGTCGGGTGTTACCGTAAATACATGCAAAATAATTAGATTGTTACAAGAAAAAAATCAACGCGCATATTATATTATACATATCATTATATTTTGTTACAATTATTACGTCGCTAAAGGTTATTAGATAGGTACCTATGCGTAATACATATATAATAATATACCTGTTCATTATAATTATTATATAATACGAATTATGGTTAATATTGTTTTACTCGGCAAGCCTACTCGATTATTTGTTATTTTTTTTATTTTTTTTATTATTAATCTTAATATCAAAACTATATGATATGATTCTTTGAAAAAGAAAAACAATTTATATCTTTTATACTCTATATTATATTATTATTGTATGACTGTGTTCGGTCGCGAGATTGTAATCCGAAATGAAAAATAATATACATATACATTATACCTATAACATACGTACATTTATATATTATATATTATATTAGGTATATTGTGCATTATACGCTCGCGAAACCCGTTTGCCCCGATGGGAAATTGCACGACAGTAAATCCGTAATGTTTACGATGTTTATACGATACGAGAAACGTGTAGGTTTATTATTATCATTATTATTAGTATAATATAGTAGCAGTTGTAATATATATATATATATTTAGAGAAGAGTAGGCTTGCGTGATGTGCTCTCATATACACACACACAGATTTCTATAAACGGCGCGTTACAATAATACTATTATATTGCGTAAAGTGCATAATATATAATAATAATAATAATAATATTATATGTGATGCGTCGTGTCGCGGGTTATATAGATACCTAACGATTTTTTGAAAAAACGTTTTGTAATTTTTTTTTTATGTGTTCGCTTAATCACGATACGAGCGTCGGGCTTACAATAAAATTGTACGTTTTGGGTGGTGTATAAGTTTTTTTTCAGTCCTAAAGAGAAAAGTCGTATATGATATTATGTTATAACAGAATATCTAGCCCCATAAGTCTTTGAAATATTTATGTTTACAACTATGTTTTGATAAACGCATCATGTTTTACATCGCCCCGACTTTGACTTGTGATCTTATATGCATATTTAATATAAACTTGCACACTATACGGTAAGTCGATAAGAAAATATACGAAAAAAAGAACTTTTAGTGTCACCGCAAGGACCAAATAGTGTGCTTCGAACCAACATATAATAATTATGAGTCTGAGTAATACTGAGCGTGAAAGTAATTTGTTAGTATAAACATAAAATGTAGAGACGTATAATAAAACTTACAATCACTATACAATATCTAAGTCTAAAAAACATAATTAAATATTAATTGTAATGCGCACGCGCATAAAAACATTTTACAGATCAAATTATAGGTGTTATTATAGCGTAGAATATAATATAATATTACAAAAATAAAAGTACATAATATGATATTTCACTCACTATTACTCGGACTTTGAGTGTTGCTGCAGCAATACAAATATAATAGGTAAAAAATCTTTTTTTTTAGAACACTGTATAATACGTAGACTGTGTTATTGTATAGATAATTGAATACAATATGTCACATGCATACTGCAGGTAAATTAAAGGTGTAAATAATATTGCATTGGTATATATATCTAATATTATTCACATATAATGGAATATATTTGTAGGTACTATAAAGAATACAAATTATTCAAACCAGTTTTTCTAAAAATATTATGTTCGTATAAATACCTTCTGTAAAATTATTAGTGTGAGAGAAAAATCCATTATTTAACATCAAACAACAATTTTGTAAACACACAAATATCAGTAAATACAAATATAATAATAATATATCTTGGTATAGAACGGGGTGGTGTATAATATAATACCTACAATACGTCCACTATTTTAAATTATAATGCATAGTATTTCTGTATAAATAATTAAATAAATTAAACTGAACACAGGCGGCCTCCATAAACTTGTAATAACTGTTAAGGATTTCTTAAAGCGTGTGCTTTATAATAATATATGCGACGACTTCGCTGTGAAACGTTAATAATATTATATATATATAGTTTTTTTCCTAGGAATAATAAAATATTATGAAATATAAATATTATATTTACAGCATATAAGTAACAGATACTTATTACAAATTAATAAATCAATATTTAATTAAATGTTTTAAACTTGGTCCAACGACCGAAGTATTATTATTGTTCAGTAGGTATTAGAAAATATGTGAAAATGTTTTATATAATATTATTATGTACTTACATTGTTTATACGAGTAAAAGGTATTATATGATGCGTTTTAAATGTTTTAATTTTAGACCGTTTTAATAGTATTTTTTTTTATTTCTTGGATGAATGGTTTTACCTCGCCCAAACCATTAATTATATGTAGTTTAAGCTGTAATTAATAATAATGAGACTTTTAATGTGGGAAATAGGCGACCTACTGGAAATCGTGAAACTATTGTTTATAATCTATAGAATCTCATTACCCGGAGTGCAATTGAGTGACATCGACATCTCTGAGATATTTAATTTAGATCTCAAATTAGACATCACATTCCAATATCCATATGTCATTACATTCTATAGAATCGTAAATTTTGTTTATTTTATTTGTATGATTAATATACATTTCCCTATACACTAGACAGCCATACCTGAATTAAAGTATTATGGTGGTGGGGTACATATTATGATTCACTTAAGGTAATATAATACATTATTAAATTATTATAGGTATTAAATATTGTTATGTATTTATTAATGCAATCTGCATAGAACTAAATAAATTTAAATTCAATTTTAAAAATATGAAGATAACAACTTGCGTACTAATAGATACCTACTTGCCTATAGCTGCATTTAATAATAAAAATGCATTATACATTTTTATACATATTTCAATAATTTATTGACTGTGCGCTAAATAAATTTTATTTTAGAATAAAATAGTATATTTAAAATTACTATAATATTACATAATAAACGTTGTTATTTATGGTTATTATTTTATTTTTTGATCATAAATAATCCGCCTTAATCATAAATATTGATATGTTATTAATAAAAACGAATATTTTTGATTTAATGAAACGTATTTTATATTTGTACTTATTTTGTACCCATACACATTACAAAATTCGATAAGTCACGGTATCTGAATAAAGATACATTGTGAGTGGAATTCGATTTAGATACCTCATTTAAATAGTGCATTTATCATACGGTTTTATTTAAATAAAATGAAAGTTGCTCACTTCCTCGTAAAAATATTAAATAAACCAATAAAATATATTTTGTTAGCCCTATAATAATATATTATAAGTAGTTATATACACTGCTAAGCACGGCTGTTACAGAAGTGGTATAATTAACCTTGTGCTCAAATGTCAAGACGTCTTAAAATTCAAATTTATTCAATTTATATACCTGAAAATTATAAGTAATTTCAAGTATAAAAATAATCGACTATACAATTTTTGAACGCTCCATTGTTTTGTATACAAAACTCGGAAAACCGGTCACACTAATATTTTTATAATCGATTTAAATCTTAAGTTTTTATACGATTATTATTGACTGAGTTATAACAGGTATCTGATGCAGAAATAACTAATAATCAAAATAGAGATTAAAACAGTAGCATTTTAGGTACATTTAATATTATATATAGGTACTTATACGATTTTTATATATTTATTCACACGAAATATTTGTTACTATGCATTATAGTGTGGTCGTTTTGTATATTATGTATATGACTTATATAGGTACTTATTACAGTATTATATTATTATGGGGCCTTCAGGTGTGGCTCTTCGTTTGGACTCGGTCACTTATGTGTTCTGAGGTCAAGCATCGGCCGGCGCCGCTACTTACCGGATGGGTGACCACCCGGGTTTTTAGTGACGAATCCCACAAACACGTGTTCCTCAACCAACCGTAACCCCCTCACAATATGCTAATGGGCATAGATTCTGATGCTTGAGATTAATGAAAAAAAATGTATTTTTATTTTTTATTTGACTTATACTGCAATCTATATAATATTTAGTATAATAAGCATAATAGATGGTTAGAAAGAAGACAAAATATAGCAGAGGGAATTGAAAAAAAATGAAATTATATTATATTATACAGTAGGTACTTATACGCAATTACAAAAACACCTCGAACACCTCATACCATATATTATTATAGAAATTAAAAGTCTTATATTATGTTTCATACTTCACGTCACTTTACATATTTATAATATATAAATATTTCCTATGTTTAAGGATATGAGTACCTTATGTATAGTATTTTTTAAATTATAATATCTATGCAATAGGCAAAATCGCCAAGGTTTTCAGAAGTTTATAAAAGATACGGCGGCGCATCAACGGTGCGTATATATATCCATAATAATTATACATCTGTCCTATAAACATTAAACACATATATGAAGTATGATACATGTTATAATATAGGTGCTCGTGCGTAGGTACACAATAGTTCTAGCAACAAGCACGAATCCAATTAAGCTCGAAATGAATTTCAGTTTTCATAATACTTATTATTATATACAAAAAGTCGTAAAAATGTTGTACTCACACATTATATACATATATAATATAATATACATAATAATACAACTCAATTAATTATTCATATATTTTCTTACTTATCCCTTTCACAGTGTAATTCATGTTGGGTGCAAATTTGCGCCTATACCCATTGCCTAATATATCGTATCTGCGAGTATTTATTCGTTAAATAATAATTTTAACTACCTACTACCTAGGTATAGGTGTATCTACTGTATCTTTACTATAGGTAGTTGAGTTAGAACTTATTTATCAGTTAATTTGACCATTTAATGTAATTTTTGTGAATACATGTGTAGGTAAATTAAATATTTGCAATGATAGAGCTTCATCCGAGGGCGGATCCAGAATCTGTGTAAATAGAGGGCACTATTAAATTAAAAATATTTATTTTGATTGTTAATAATTTATACACCAATAATCAGTTGTGATTATCCGATATACTAGATGTACAATATGATTTTTTGATTTTCATACTCGCATCTACACCAACGGGTGCATTCGTTTGAAATACATTTTATT